ATTAAAATTTTATTTTAAAATGTAATAAAAAAAATACTAAAGATGAACTCACCTATAAATTCCATGTATGTTATGTTGGTCAAAGTACATATGAGGTCCCTGTACTATGGTGTTTTGTTCAATTTAGTCCTTCTATTTTAATTTTGTTCAACTTAGTCCTTCTATTTTAATTTTATTCAATTTAGTCCTTATATTTTAAAAATTGAAACAATTAAAGACAATAGCTTATGTGAGAAAATATTTATGTATTTATTTGTGACATATTAATGTAATATATTGGTGGTAAAACTAATTAATTTTAAATATTTATAAAATATTATATGAGTTGACATGTAAGTATGATGATGTGGCAGAGATAATGTCGGCGCCGTATCAGCTATTGTCCTTCATTGTTTCACTTTTTAAAGTATAGGGACTAAATTGAACAAAATTAAGGTAGAAGGACTAAATCGAACAAAACGCTATAGTACAGGGACCTCATAGGTACTTTGACCATGTTATGTTTCACATCACTTCTATAATAAAGAATAGTTTTCAATAGTTCGAGTTGTCGGGCTAGCCCATTTAATTTTAGGCTAACCCTATTGGGCCATCGGGTTTATCGGTCTCGGGCTCATCGGGGTAATGCTTTTTATCGAGATAGCCCGTTCGAGCCATAGCCCTATCAATTTCAGTTTGATCGTGCTTTCCCATCGGGTTCGGGCCATATTGATATCCCTATATAGACGGTTCCAATACATATAGTCCTCTGACTTCCTTCCCCTTACCAATAATCTTCTTCGTCAAAAGATCATGAAATAAACAATAACTCGGGAAAAAGGAGACAGAACAATTCAAAGTCCGTGTGATTTGGCTAATAGAAAGCAAATTAACAGGAAACTTTGGAAGATATAATATAGATGACAGGGGTAATGATGAGGTTTCAATAACACTACCTCTACCCAAAACTGGAACAGATGACCCATCCGTTAGAGTAACCATAACCCCAGGGTTAGATGGAGAATATGTGGAGAAAACATTAGAATTACCTATCATATGGTCACTAGCTCCGGAGTCAATGGCCCACTGTGTAGACGAAGAAGACACACATGCAACATGATTACCTGTTTGTATAAAGGTTGCAGAAGAAGGCAGTTGATTAGATGGAAATTGGGATGGAGACTGCATAGAAGAAGACACCTTCAGTTGATTGAACGCTGCTAACTCCTCATCTGTCGTAACCACCATATGTCCTTCAGACCCAGAGGTTGTGTTAGCAAACCTTTGCTGCCTGGGTGGTTTAGGACATTGATTTCTGAAATGACCTAGTTCTCCACAATTGAAACATACCCTTAGTCCTCCACGACCTCTTCCACCACGTCCTCGATGGCGACCACCCCCACCTCAACTAGTATACCCTTTGCTAGTATAACTTCCTTGCAACACAAATGCACTTCCTTCACCATTACCTCCTTGTGATATAAAAACACTTTTCTCGGGAGGTTCATTATTGTCAATGCTTACTGCTGCTTTCTGTATCTAGGAGAACACTTGGTCCAATGACCCTAATTCCTTATTTCCCAGCAATTGTGACCTAAGAATCTCATATACTTTGTCAAGCTCGAAAATCTAGCTATAGCTGAAGGCAATTAATTGATCACGTTGTGCTTTCATTGTCTTCACATCAGTTGTAATAGGCATTGCAGTACACAAAGCTTCACTTGAACTTTTGAAATCATAATAGTAATCTCACATATCTCAACCTTTTTTATTAGGTCTATAGACATCTTGAGACAACTGATACAATTTCCTCAAATTACTTGACCTACTAAACCATTCAGATACTAACCCCCATACTGCTTTAACCGTGGTACAATGTTGCATTGATAAGATTACCTTCATATCAATACAATTAATTACCTGTGATAACAAAGCTTTATCATCTGTTTCCCATTCCTTATTATCTGGAGGGCAATCTTTATCTAAATGGTCACCTTTACCTAGGGGTGACCACGGTTCCGGTTCCGCAAATGGTGAAACCGGAACCGGAACCTTATATTAAGGTTCCGGTTCCGGTTGGAACCGCCAGTTCTAACCGGAATTTAAAAAAAGAAAAAAAAAACCTCATGTTAAAGTTTTGACCAATTGCCATGCTATTGGCCAGTAGCATGGCTATTAGCAGCCAGCAGGCCACTGGCCTACGCCAGTGGCCTGTTGGTTTAGACTTTTGAAAAGTCAAAGCCTTGAGATTTTGGCTTTTCAAATTTCAACTTTATTTATTTATTTATTTATTTATAGTTTGGAGTCGGAACCGACGGTTCCGATTCCAATATTTTGAAAACTTTATCCGGAACCTTATTGGTTCCGATTAGGAACCAGAATCAGAATCGTACGGACGGTTTCGGTTCGGTTCCGATTAGCACAGTAACGGTTATGGTTCGAACCGAAATGTGGTCACCCCTACCTTTATCCATTCCGTCTAAATTAATTTTAACCAAGAATTTCCATTCAGCAAAATTAGACCCATCAGCAGCCAATACTACATCAATTAATTTAGATGGAGTAGATACAACAGTAATATTCCTATTACTTCCTTTTGCCATGGCTGCCATACTCAAGTTCAACCCTAAGTAGTGTAGAATATCAACAACCCAAAACTCCACAAAACATACATAGGCAGAACCTACTCACTGAGACGAGTTGACTGGTGTAATTTCACGCCGGAGACATCGTCGGAAAATGCCACACGTGCTGGCGCGTGGCGTCGGAGCAGCGGCATTGCGATGGCGCGTGGAGGCTCTAATGACGGCGTGGTCGGAGCTCCGGCGTCGTCATCATCCTGTTCCGAGCTGAGCAAAGCCCACTACCTCACTCTCGCCTGCTCTGATACCATGATACTAGAAAGAAAGGATTTCTTGGAACATGTTTCTCTGATTCTTTGTGTGTTCTTCACTGCCACAACACTGATATACATACATACACACACACACACACACACACACACACACACACACATATATATATATATATATATATATATATATATATATATATATATATATATATATATATATATATATATATATATATAAAAGTAGGGAAGCTCTACAACCTATTCATATCCTATGCCTTTCTATCTTCTATGCCTGTTCACATTGTATGCCTATCTATCATCCATGTCTATTCATTTCTAACAAACTATTTTCTTCAAATTTGTAAATATGGTTGCTGAAGAGCATCCTTATAGAGGCAACTAGCGGCAATACTGGCATTGGTCTTGCATCTGTTGCAGCAGCTTGGGGGTATAAACTTATAGTTGTGATGCCACATACATATAGTCTTGAAAGAAGAATTATTATTAAAGCTTTTGGAGCTGAACTACATATCACTGACGGAGCCAAGGGTGTAAATGGTGTTCTTGAAAAGGTCCAACAGATAATGGATAGGACCCCAAACTGTTATTTTTTACGTCAGGCTGATAATCCTGCTAATCCCGAGGTATTCCTATTTTCAAATTCAGGAATTGATTGATAGATGGTAGAGGCATTCTTCTTATCAGCTTTCCATGTGTAGATTCACTATGAAACAACTGGACCAGAGATATGGAAGGGCACTGAAGGGAATGTCCATGCTTTAATTGCTGGGATTGGAACAGGAGGAACAATCACAGGTGCAGGAAAATTTCTCAAAGAAAAGAATCCAGAAATAAAGGTGGATTTAAATTTGTTTTTATCATAAATACCACTTTGGACTTGCTCATTCATCAGTTTTTTTTTTTTTTTTTTTTTTTTTTTTTGTTGATCTTGAATTTTGTTTTTGTTTTTTTTTTTTTTTTAATTCTTTCATTTTTTTAGTTTTTAATTGCTTTGTATTCGCTTTTTCTTCTGAAGCAGGTATACGGTGTAGAGCCAGCTGATAGTGCATTTCTAAATGGAGGAAAGCCAGGTTTGGAGTAATCTTTGATGTCATTCAAAATTTTGGTTTTGGTAAAGTTTCTGCTTTTCATAGTCAAATTTTGGTAAAGCCAGGTATATAGTCAAATGGAGTAATGACTTCTATGTCATATCTTGATGTCATGCCACGTTACGTTGTTCTAAAATCAAACCCATATTTATTACTGGCTTGTAAGCCTATATAAACAGTCTTATTTTTTTTCCTCATCTGAGTTTAACATATGTACTTATCTTCATCTAGGAAAACATAAAATCCAAGGTCTTGGTACTGATATGGTTCATCCGGTTTTGGACGTGAGCATACTTGAGGAAGTTGTTACAGTAAGACCCTCCCCTCCTTATTTTTCAAGCATAAGTTTTCCTTTTAATCACATTAATTAAAAAAGGTGACCAATTTTTCTAGCGGCTTGATCTTGTCGGGCATTAATTTTAGGTGACCAATGAGGAAGCCTTTGAAATGACAAAGCTTCTGTGTCTGAAAGAAGGTTTATTTGTATGTGTATTATGGTGATGCCATATCTATGATGTAATTTCCCTTTAATTCTCCATTGTCATAGACCTGAAAGTTCAATTCTCCATTTTCACTCAGGTGGGCATTTCATCAGGGGCAGCAACTGTTGCTGCAATCAAAATTGCAAGAAGGCCAGAGAATGCAGGAAAACTTCTTGTTGTAAGTGTGACTCGTTTCATATGTCCGACACTATGTTGGGCAGAGGCCCGTAATGGGCTAAGTCCAGCACCCTGCCTCTCGAAAATGTGATGACTAGCGGTCTATTAGGAAATAAATTTGCGTCTTCGCTACTAACTATAACTTTTGGCGTAGTGGTAAGCACTTGACCCTAACGAGTGGTATTAGAGCCAAGTTATGTGTTCGAGTGCAGTTAAGACTGGCCCAAAAATGTGATGGCGGTCTAGATATTCTCGCTGCTCTAGCGAGACTTCTGGTATGAAGCTAGAAATATAAGTTGCTTCTAAACAATGGTCTAAGGTCTTGGAGTCTAGTTCATTACCCTAGTAATCCATCACATTCATAGTGAAGCTTGACTTGTTCAAAGAAATTAATGCCACTTGCAGGTCATATTGCCAAGCTTTGGGGAGCGTTATCTCTCGACTGAGCTGTTCGATTCAGTACGGGAAGAGGTGGAGAATATGAAGTTCGAGTAAATGTCTATGCGCTGTTGATAAAGAAGGGGAGATTTGCCGTCTACAATGGTCTCTTTAATTCTTTATAGCTGAAAACAAGCTCGTTGAGAGTGGTTCAAGTATGATTTCTTCTTCAGTATTGTTGGTTTTAAATCCTCAAAACATATGTATCATTGCTCATCTACTCCACTAATGTTGTTACTATCTATATCCTAGACTTCTATACCTAAAACATATTATGGATCTTGGAATGTTTTGTGGATTTAAATGCACATTATGTGTTAGAATAATGAAACTTCATTGATAAGATAATGTACTTTATGAGTTAGAATAATGTACATAGATGCATATAAGTAAAATGCTTGAATCTATCTCTTTTGAGTATAGACAAGCATCCGATCTGCTTAACGAGTAGTCTAGATCTACTAGTGTTTTATGAAACTTTTCATACCACTGTTTGGGAGCTTGTTTTAGCCCGTATAAAGACTTTATTAGTCTACATACTTTTTTCTTTTGTCTTGGCTCAACACACCCAGGTGGTTGCTACATGTATATCTCTTCCTCTAAATCTCCATTTAGAAAGGCTGTTTTGACATCCATTTGATATACTAGCCAGTTGTGAGAGGAGGCCAAGGCAAACAACACACGAATTGTGGCTATTTTAGTCACGGGGAATACATGCAGAAGTAGTTTTCACCAAACTTCTGTTTATACCCCTTTGCTAGTAGTCTAGCCTTGAACCTTTTTATTGACCCGTCTGGTCTTTGTTTTCTTTTAAAGATCCACTTGCAGCCAATTGGTTTGGCTCCTTTGGGTATACCTACCACTTCCCATGCGTGATTTGACTTAATGGAGTCTAGCTCACTTTGGATGGCTTCTTTCCAAAACAGCGTGTATAGAGCGCACAACAGTCTCAAGGGACTTTGGCTCTTCTTCTAAGATTAACTGACAGACGAACTGATAAGATAATTCATTAACGTCACTTAGCTCAGATAAGTACGTAATGAAATCAGACCCAAAGCTGGTTTCAGTTCTTTGTCTCTTGCTCCTCCTAGGCTCTTCTGCCTCGTTCTCAATTTGAGATGAGGAGGGTAGCAAAGACACACCTTTTTGTGAGATAGGTGGAGCCAGTTTTAGTGGGAAGACGTGTTCGAAGAACTTAGCCTCTCGTGCCTCGCACATAGAGCGACTGTCCAGATACATAACCTGTATGCAGCGCTGCTTTCTGCATATCCCACAAAACCAACGTCTTGGGTTTTATATCCGATGTTAGGCCTTTTAAAGGTTGGGAGACTCACCTTTGCTAGGCACCCCCACACTTTGAAGTATTTCAGGTTCAGCGCATAACCCTTCCATAGCTCATATGGAGTCTTCTCATACCCTTTATGGGGTATCCTGTTGAGAATGTGGTTAGCTGTAAGCGCTGCTTCTCGCCACAAAGAGGTTGAAGCTCCCGAGCTGATTAGGAAGGCACTAATCATCTCTTTGAGAGTTCTATTTTTTCTCTCAGATATGTCATTTTGTTGTGGCGAACAAGGCGCGGTCACTTCATGGATGATACCATGTTTTCCACAAAAGGATTTTAGAGATGTGGACTCGTATTCCCCACCTCTATTAGACCTAAGTCTTTTGATCCTTTTATCTAGCTGATTTTCTACTTTCATTTTAAAGATAACAAATGTTTGTTCTGCCTCATATTTTGATCTAAGTAAATATAGCTTTGAATAACGGGTGAAATCATTTATAAGGGAGATATAATATTTTTTTTCCACCTTTAGTCTCTGTACTCTTAAAGTCAGCTATATCTGAGTGAATTAACTCATACTTATAGATTTTATCTACTCATGAATTTAAACCTAATATACCCTAATCTAGCATGCCATACATAAAAAAGACACAACAATATATGCAGAACCGCCAGTGCTACTGGCAAGATTATCCATAAAAGTTTGAATGTTTTGGAAAGTATAAGCAATGAGGGGAAACACAAACAGCCCCCCACGCATATAAGCCTTTCCTAGATATTCCCCTCTAGGAGTCATTACCATTCTCTCAGACTCAAACACGAGTTTGATCCCAGCTCTAACCAACAAGGGACCTGAGACCAAATTACTACGTAGAGAGATAAAATACAACACATTTGACAAAAACAAGTATTTTCTAGAGTTAAGAGTCAGTCTCATTTCAAGTTGAGATCAAGTGGCCGCGCTATAACTAGCTTGCATGATCAACACCCTACTTCTTAAGCACTCCCAGGTCGAGTGATGAAATCGAAGTTTACTTAAAAACCATCATCCTAGACAGAGTGTTCAAGAATGATGACATTTCTATGTTCTCATTAAATTGCAATTGAAGCCTTTGATATATGCTCTTATTTTATTTTAGTAAAAATATTTGAGTAATATCTATACACAAATCATTTCAATCAATGTCATTAGTATTCAATTCCATGCTATAAACAAATTGCAACCAAAGACTTTGATATATACTTATTATATCTTTATACAAATAATTTCAGTTCATGATTCAAATCTTTAAAACCATGTGGCAAAGATATATAATTATATATGCATCTCATATTCAATTTGAAGGAACAAATAGCCCCCACTAATAAATTAATCATGCATCACTTAAATTTATGTTCCCCAGTTATCTAACACATAATCACTTTTTGATCTCATTTTGCGAAGAACATAACATTTTCGTACAACTCACATGCCTACACATAGACATAACAATATGCATGAGATATTGATCATCAAGATTAAACATTTATATTTTGAATGTTAAGAGTGAGAGAACATATTTAAGTAATATAATGATCTTGCTATTTCAATTCTTCAAGATTAATATGCTATAAAAGATTATTATGTGATATATCATCCTCATAACTATAACTGCTTGCACTTTAAATTCAAGAGCACAAAATTTAATAATGACTAAGTCATAATATATACAGAATATTAATAATTTTGTGTGTTGAAAAGCATGTAGCTAATTATCTCTTAGTTATGTCAATCTTCATGTTGTGCACACTGAAGAGAACGAACCAAAAGATGAAATATAATGCGGTGATGATGCATGAAAGCATTTCTAACACCCATTAAATGAATTATCACGTACGCATGTATTAAAGAAATAATACTTAGCTCAGAGTTCGACAGACTCGAAGTGGATCATCATCTTGATCGTCCACCGGCGGTAGTTCAGACCGGTGAGAGGTTCGAGCTTGGCGAGGTTAGAGGAGGTCTTGGTTGCCATTGACGACATTTTCACGAGAATAATTTCTGCTTTTAACTGTTGGACTAGGGATGAAAAAATGTCGCAGACTTGTTGCTTTTTATATAGGCTGAATTGGATAGGTAGGTAGAAAAATTATGTGCCGTGTAAACACTGCCTTAAAAGAAAAAATTCCCCGGGGTATGCCGGAGATGCTTTCGACTGGTTGCACACATAAAGCAAAAAAGAACCCGACTCAAGTGCTCAGACTTCTTAGAGGATATCAAAGAAGAGAAGAAAATGATTAAGAAGTGTGCTTTGAACTTCAGGAGGAGTAGGGTATTTATAGCTATAGAAATACATGCCCCTCCTATCTCAGCCATTCAATATCCACAAAAGGAGGGGAGAGTAGTGGTGGAGAGGACCACAATTATAGAAATTAATTTGACTCCACAATTTAGTGTGGATGAGCAAAAAACTCATCCCCCACACATTCACTTGGTTGAATGTTATTATGTCATTTATGTTAACTGCATAATATATCGATATTGATTGACGATGGGCATGAACAGTGTGAAAAAGAAGGTGGTGGCGTTCGTCATGGGAGCGAGCGGGTCGGGAAAATCAAAGCTTTGTGTCCACTTAGCAAATCGTATTGAGGGAGAAATTACCAACTCTGACAAGATACAAGTTTATAGAGGACTTGAGGTTTTGTCAAACAAGATTGTTGAGTGGGAGAAGCTTGGCGTGCCTCACCATTTGATTGGGAAAGTCGACCCCGATAAAGAATATACGACTCGTGACTTTTGCTTTGAGGCCACTTCTGCAATCGAGAGAATCACAAAGTCCGGCAAGGTTCCGATCGAAGGAAGAGGATCCAATTCATTCCTTGAAGCATTGGTGGAGGACCCTCTTTTCAACTTCAAGTCCAACTATCTTGGCTTCTTCATTTAGCTTCATGTTTCTCCCCATGTTTTGAACACTTTTGTGTCCAAACGAGTTGACCAAAGCATTATTTAACCATTGTCGTTGGTGTGTTTTCTTTAAGCACACTTGAATAAACAACACTACAAAGACAATGGTTTTTTTTAAATCGTTGTCTTTGCACACTCTTTTTTTTTAAGACAACAGTTTTATTTAACCGTTGTCGTGGTAAGTTGTCTTTAAGCGCACTTGAATACACAACATTATAAAGCTTTATCATTTTTTTTTCAAAACATCCTCATTTGGCCATAATATTATTGTGAAATGACAATTTTTTATCCTTTACTAACAAAATCGTTGAATATCGTTAAAGACAAGGACATTTCGATCTTTTTTTGTACAAAGTGAGTTGACCTGCTATATTTTCTTTTGAGTTAATTCCATTTTTGCCCTAGATTTATTGGTGGCAGTCCACTTTTAGTCCTTTTTTATAAGAACATCCCCTTTTGGTCCCAGTATTATTGTGACATGACCAATTTTGGTCATTCATCAACAAAATCGTTAAAATGTCGTTAAATACAAGGACATTTCGATCTTTTTAATACAAAGTGTGTTGATCCATTATTATTTTTATGTTTATTTTTAAAAAAAATCATAATTAAAAACCGGAATGCCCTGTATTTAAACTGTTTTGTTGATAGAGGACCAAAATTTGTCATGTCACAATAATACTTGGACCAAAAAGGGATGTTTTGATAATAAAAAAAATGACTAAAAGTGGATTGTCACCTATAAATCCAGGATAAAAAATGGAATTAACTCTTTTCTTTTTTACTTTTTATTAAAAAAAATCATAATTGAAGTCCTAAAATCCCTTGTATTTTACAGAATTTAAATTGCTTTGTTGATTAAGGACCAAAAATGATCATACAACAATAATACTATGTTCAAAATGGGATCTTTTTTTTTTAAAAAAAAAAAGGACTAAATAAAAGTGGATTGTCACCTATAAATTTAGAGGTAAAAATGAAATTAACTCTTTAATTAATAAAAGAATAAAATATTCAGACGCCTTGAGAGATCATTTTCTTGTTGAGGTGCCTATATATTATAGGGCGCCATTGGAAGGGATTTTATTCCAATAAGGGTAAGTTGGTTTTTTTTTTTAAACAAAATAAATTTTATTAATCAAAGGAATTAAAGGACTTACAAAAGATGGCCCAAAAGTGACCATAAAAGATACTTAGCCCTTTAGATCAGGCCTATACTAATTAAAAAAAAAAAAAACAAATAACAAATGGACCAAAGACCCCAAAACAGGTCAGGTTTAAAGGATGAATGAAATAAATAAAAGAATTGACTCATGCCCAAATAATAGGCCAGATCTAAGAATAGAAAAGTAAAAAATAATAAGAATGGAGATGCCGGGACAGCGATGCAGAGCCCTCATATAGGCTTCAGATTTACCAGTAGCAGTCAGATGTAGGCCTGTCGGTTGGCTAAACACGCTCATTTTGCAGTGCACCAATCATCGTAAAATCCGGCAACATAACGGTTGTATCTAGGACTAATGTGGAGCCGTAAAAGGCCAACAGCTGCCAAATAGAACAAAGAAGGCACACAAGCTTCCAAATAAACAGTCAAAGGACACACAGGCCAAAATAACAGGCCAACCAAAAGCGATAAAGTCAAGCTATCGGCTGGCTATCACGCCCTTCTTGCAGTGCACCAATTTCCGCAAGATTCGGCAGCATAGGGGATGTTTCTTGAACAAGAAAGTACTGTTGCGCCACCATGCTGCACCACCACAAAGTTGCAATGTCGTGACTCTGCACCACAATGCAACGATGCAACAGCGCGAACACGGCCGCAACGCTCCACGCCCACGTCTCGTTAAAGCTATCGGCTGGCCAAACCCTCCAAGAATGTTAGCCCATTTTGTTAGGCAAACAAACAGGAGGCACGCAGGCCCAAAAACTAATTTGGCACGCAGGCCAATAAATAAAGCACACAGGCCACTTCAAGCCAGCCAATAGCATCAGTCCACCCAAGCAGCACCACCAAGAGAGAATAGTAACCAGAACCCTAACGGGAATAGCTACTATGGGCCAGCAGCAAGCCTGGACAAACCGCCAACGGATTTGATAAACCCCTACCCAGCCACCGTTCAGCCCGGGCTAGGATGCAATTTCTTACCGCTTGCACCAACGTTGAGGCGTGGTCTATTTAAAGAAACCCACAAGGGCTAAACCAAACAAGCTTAAGACCAGCAATACCTCAGAAGCCAAGGAAAGACCTACAAAATGAAAACATGACAGAACAAGCAAACGCAACATTTCCTAAACCAATACAGCTCATAATCATGTTTCAATAGGCAGTGTATAAGGAAATAACAGAAAGACACGAACAACAAGACAACCCGGCCCCCATCATATATGACCCGCCCCACCCGGAGCCCAGAAGGGACTCGGCTACTATTGGCCAACAGTAAGCCTGACCAGGCCAACGGATTTAATAAATCCTGTCTGGCCACCGTTCAGTCCGAGCTAGGGTGCCTCTTGTACCGCTGGCACCTGCGTTGTTGAGGCTAGACCTGACAAACGCCAAGCCATCATTGCCTCTAAGCAGAGTACTTTTCATTCTCTCTCTTTTTTCTTTTTTCTTTTTCTTTCCTTTTTCTTTTCTCTCATCTTTTGTAATTCTTTCATTTTCTTTTTTCCCTTTTTCTTTCCTTTTCATTTTTCTCATTCTTTTCTTTTTCCTTTTTTTTTTTTCAATTCTGATTCACTTTTCAACAAAACATAATACATCAAGAAAACCGGAGCCTCAGTTCAAGGTGGGTCATAATCCTCAAAATACACCGAGGGGATATCATCATGAACAAGTAAAGCACGCACCCTCGGCGATAAGTTAAAGAAATTAAGAAAAATAAACTCCACATCCTTATCCCCAACCCAATCTGCCAATGCAGCCACAGGGAGATTACCCTGCGGCAAACACTGAAGAACAGAAACAAATGCACAAGAGCAAAGAAATCGGAGCCGTGACACTTCAGAGTCAAAAACCCATGGACTAGGAGCGGAGGGGTCCACATAGCCCTTAAGCTCAGGCAATACAGACTCTAGGACCAAAGACCTAAAACCCTCGGCTAAACACCATTCAAGACAGCGGTGCATAACATGAAAAAAAATCCCGAAATCCGTCGACTGCCGAAATGGCCAGGCCGTAGCAGAAACCACCTACCCACCCCCCACCCCACCCCCCCCCCCCCCCGATTACGTACCAAGGCAGCAGTCTCACCCACCGACTCAGAGTATGAGAGATTGAGCTTTATAGAGCCATCCGGAGGGGGATCCCATCTAATAGCACGAACCACGCATCGCGGGGCAGTGGAATCTATATAGGATAGAATGATAGGCCAGTTTGGTGGTAGAATGTGCTCCCACGGCCATCGCCTAAAGAGACACTCTGCCACCCCTTTGGCAACGCCATACACCACTCGAGGCACACTTGGTGGTCCTCTGCCACGCAAGCATACGTTCCTGTGTTTTCATAACTCCCAAAGGATGAGATAAGACAACCTGCAAATAACAAAAGCAACAAGACGGTTATGTGAAACCACCCGCTTCCACCCAGTCAACAGCGTCCGTAGACCCCGATGACTGAATCGCAAGCCGAGTGATCCCATAAAAAATCCCCATACAGCCCTGGCAGTGTCCCCCGCATAAAAGATGTGATCAATGGTCTTCTAGCAGGGTTACTGCAGCACCAGCATCTGGAAACAATAAGGTGCTCAAATCTAGCTATGGCATCATCAGTGGGCAAACGGCCCCGTAATACACGCCAAACGAGAAAGGACACCTTAAAGGGCAGGTGCTTATGTCAACGTGCCCTCAAAAGAGGATCAGAATTCACCGGTTCAGGTCTTAATATTGATTTTGCAGAAGAGAAAGAAAACAAATCGTCTGTAGCAACCCGCTAAATAGGAATTTCAGCCACTCGTTGGCCTAGACGGGACATGTCCGCCTCCAACCCGGCTAGCAGCAGGTCATCATAGGCCGACAAGTCCAATTTCCCACCCCGCCCAATAGTGAATTTATAATAATAACAATTGAAGTGATGAGAATAATGGTGAGTTTGAAATGAGGAGGATGAATAATGATGGAGTACAATAATATATTTAGGTTAAAATATAAATTTGTTGCTAACTATCTAATGAAGGAGAAAATCTTGCCTCTCCCGGATAAAGTAGGTTAATTAGTTCAAAAAAAAAAAAAGATCCTGTAAAAAATTACGAATTCACTATATCCAGATTATGATATGTGATCCAATGTATCTGTATCATTAGAATGTATCTAACTCTTGTAATGATTTCAAATCAAATCAAGTACGTTTTGTTAGAATATCATCATATATTTAATATTTGAATCATTTAGCACATTTAATTTATTATTAATCCAATTAATCTTATGTGCAATAAGTTTATGACTAAATCAGACTTATTTGATCGATCATTTATACTCATTGACTATACTCGTTACTTGTTCCGAAATATATATATATACACACACATAAGCGCTCTAGTCCCATCTCTTCATTACACTTGCTCTCATCCTAAGACTCTCTAAGTTTTCAGCTTTAAGCTAAATTTTAAGTTATGTATGTCAAATAGAACCATACATTCTGATCTATTGATGAATGTTAACTGTAGAATATATCGGTATCTATTGATTGACGATGGGCATGAACAAGAAGGTGGTGGCGTTCGTGATGGGAGCGAGCGGGTCGGGAAAATCAAAGCTTTGTGTCCACCTAGCAAGCCGTATTGGGGGAGAAATTATCAACTCCGACAAGATACAAGTTTATAGAGGACTTGAGGTTTTGTCCAACAAGATTGTTGAGGGGGAGAAGCTTGGCGTGCCTCACCATTTGATTGGGGAAGTTGACCCGGATAAAGAATATACGGCTCGTGACTTTTGCTTTGAGGCCACTTCTGTAATCGAGAGAATCACAAAGTCCGGCAAGGTTCCGATTGTGGGAGGAGGATCCAATTCATTCCTTGAAGCATTGGTGGAGGACCCTCTTTTCAACTTCAAGTCCAACTATCATGGCTGCTTCATTTGGCTTGATGTTTCTCCCCATGTTTTGAACACTTTTGTGTCCGAACGAGTTGACCAAATGGTTAATCAAGGTAACTAGCTTAGTGATTTTTTTTATTTAGTCTTGATTTTTTGTGCTTAAATAGGTCCTTATTTAGTCATTTGTTAAGATAGTTTGGTAATTTCATATCTATTAATATCCAATTTTGTCTTTGACTATAGTAGTTTTACCCAAGTTAGTTTTCGATTATAGTGATTTTATCCAATTTAGTCTTTGACTATAGTTGTTTTTCTCGATTTCGTCCTTGATTATAACAATCGATGACCTACTTAAGCACAAAAAGTAATTTAGGACTAAATCGAGCTGAGAAAAACTGTTATAGCGGATGACATAAATTGAGTATTAACTCCTAATTTTATATTAGTAGGGCTCTATTTAAGATTAAATATGGTGTTATATTTTTTTGGATGACGAAGAAAACTCGAAGTCATTAACTCATTATCTAAGGATATATACCAGTACATGCATCTCGCCTTGTGAACCTATCCGGCAAAGGATTACAATGAGGTAAATCAATTTAAGTTGTTCATAGCTGACCAGTTCATTCTTTCTGAAAAGATCGATAGGTCGTTCTTATTGTAGTTACTAAGTCGTACAATAACCCAATAATCAACCTGACTAGGGTTGCCCTAATATGGTGTTATTATTTATTAAAAAATTTGATGCATATATGCAGGGCTAGTTGAGGAGGTACGAGGAATATTTGATCCAGACAAAGATTACACAAGGGGTATCCGAACCGCCATTGGGGTTCCTGAAATGGACAAATATCTGAGAGCCGAAACTAACAAAGATTTGTCTGATGCTGAGAAGAAGTTGCTGCTTGAATCCGCCATTGCTGAAATCAAAGCTAACACTATAAGCTTAACTCGCCGTCAAGTGGAGAAAATCCGACGGCTGAGGGATGAGCTGGGATGGCCCATTCACCACATTGATTCCACCCCAGTGTTTCAGATCGACGGTGACAAACAGGCTCAGCAAGCAGCATGGCTCAAGTTGGTTCTCAAACCCAGCTTCAATATTCTGCAACAGCATATCTCAAAAACATGAATATGATATGATGAATTTGGGAATATATGTCTTTAAGGAAATTAATTAATTTTATTAAAAGAAATTCCCAAATTTTAATTTGTGAATGTTATTATTATTCTTTTTTTTTGTGTGTGTAAACCACGTGGTGGTCCATATCCATTACATTTTTCTTTCCCAAAGCGGCTGTCCTTATTGTTTCCATGAGGTGACCCAAGGAAAATCGTCATCTCATTTGTCACTTGAGCTATCACCCCGAATTAGAATGTTTTTATTATATAAGCAAGTATAGTGAAGGGCCTCATTTACAAGCTAACGGTCGTGGCACCGCTACATTGTAAGCAAGTATAGTGAAGGGCCTCCGCCTCATCGGTTTTATATATAAGCAAGTATAGTGAAGGGCCTCCGCTGCCCAGCCTCCGTTGCACCGCGTTCCCAACTTCCCGCTGCACCGCCACTCAGTCACAAGCTACATTGTAAGTTTTTTATCTTTTTAAATTATTATTTCAATTTTTGAATTATTAGAGTTGACAATAATTATATTTGGAATTATTTATTAATGTATTTCAAATTTTAGGAATTATTAGTTATATATTTTGAATTTTATGAGTTATTGGTTATATATTTTGAATTTAGAAAATTATTTTGTGTGTGTGTGTCTATATATATATATATATATATATATATATATATATATATATATATAGATGAGCGTTCGTATGTGGTCATGTCATTAGGTGTGGCGGTGTGATCGTATCTGTGCCGTTGAATCAGTTTAATCTAACGGTCGTGGCTAATTCTGAGGATTTTCCCGCATTTTGGTAAGTGGGGGTGTTATGGTAATTACAGTGGCCATTTATAGCGTCCGTGTTTCAGAATACACAAACAGTATTGACAACATGCACCAATAGTGTAATAAAACACACCACAGTGAAACACGCCAATAGTGTATTCCCGAACACTGTATGGTTTATTTATTCATATCTAATGGCGCGTTTTTGATAATGCGTACCTAATTTGTGTATGTTTTTTGTTGTGCATTTCATAACATGAATGGTGTATATTTGTATAACAATTGGTGCGGTCACACTGACCACATGGGAAGGCGTTGCCGCACCTGAACTTGGCACCAACGGGAATCTACAAATACACCAGAGTAAGGCTAATAATGCACCAATTACACAAATAAAACACACAACAATGTGATTTCCCTTATTCCTGTGCCCTATGACGAGTTTACCCTTGCAGTTCGCTGGGTAGGATAACGTGCGCGAAAATACTGGAAGAATCTTGATTAATGTGATTCATTGGATCTATCTAATCTAATGGCCTATAATTGACCATATGACCATATCTAACATGGCTGCACTTGATCGCCCATATATATATATATATATATATATATATATATATATATATATATATATATAATAAGAATCATGTAGGAACTCATTTTTAGGTAGGAACATAGGAACTAATCTAAGCCATTTATTTAAATCAACAGTGTGTGTTTAATTATTTTTAATTTGAGGTTTTACGCTGACTAGTGGGTTATTTGGGTGTGTAGGGGTATTTTAGTTAGTGCAGGTGCAGAAGCGTGCGTGGGGAGGATTATAATACTGAGTTTTCGTTGTTTGGGTTTGGTTGGGGTTTGTGGTCGTAGTTATACGTTCGCCTAAGGAGCTTCATTGTCGACGCTTGTTCACTCTCCGTCCTTCCTGGTTGCGTTTCCGTCTGAGATGGCCGACACTAATGATCGGAACACTAAGCAGCCACATCCGGCGATAAGGTCGGTCGCTGCTCGAGGTCGGTTTCTTCCTTTTCACGTGTTTTTTTTTTTAAATTTCGGATCCCTGTGCGTGTTTTCAATGCTATTTGACGTGTATATTTGTTTGATTTTATCTGTCTTCAATTCGTTCGTGTCAGTTGTGGTTTTTTTTTTTAATTTTCGATCCCTGTGCTTCTACTGTGTGTGTTTTCAATGCTATTTGAGGTGTATATTTTTTTGATTTTGTTTTTCTTCAGTTCGTCAGTGTCTTTTGTTTTTTTAAAAAATTCTGGATTCCTATGTGTCATTTGTAAACTTTGTTTTGTTGTGGGTTGATTTTTGGGGTGCTTTGCGGTGCTGTTCTTTGGGAGTGGAGTAGGGTTTGGGGTGGGTGGTGTTGCTGGAAACTATGGTGGGGGTTTTGGTACTGCACTGTGGCTCATTGTTGCGTATACGCATACCTTTTTTTTTTTTTTTTTAATGTTTGGCACACACCTGTACACCTAGGTGCACGCCGTTTTGGACTTAACAGTCTGGTTGACTTTACGTTTGCCCAGTTTGGCACACACGGGTACTCTTAAATGCACACACAGTTGTTTAATGCTTTTATGTTCCGTCTTTTGTATCTTGAAACAAGGGCTTTGTTGTTCATTATATTTTCATTGCTTCCGAACGTTGTGTGTACTTTGTCAGAAAGACTTTTTGTCAGTGTTCCTTGATGATGTGGTTGATGAACAGTATGTGGTTGTTGTACAGAGGATTATCCCTAGGAGGATGCAGATGCGTTGGCGCGATGCACATAACAAAGTGGATTGCGGTGTCTTTCCTATGCGGCACATGGAAACCTTTTTGGGGCAATCGGTGAATGCATGGGATTGTGGTCTGTGCAAGGGTGCGATAGTAGGGGTCTTGATTTGTCGAGGGTGAGTTATATGCATCAAATTCTGGCAGATGAGTTAAACATTCACCATTCCAAGAACATTCGGAGCGTGGTAGAATACCATGACGCCGTGGGGCAGACATAGATACGATTATTCGTTTGTAGCTAGTTCATTAGTTTTTTTATTTTGTTCGTTTGGGGCAGACCTGTATTATGCTTATGGTATTACGCAACTAATATATTGTTTGATTTGGCACATTTTGTCTTAATCAATGGGGTTTGATGTCATTTGGTGGAAGTTTTAGGCGTATATGGTTGCTAAGATGTCGACTATTTAAACATGCGTACATGCACACACAACGTTCTGTGTGTGCCCATGTAGAAATCATACATTACGGCACACTCAGGTTCCCACATGTGCACACTCCCCTCTGTTAAACCTTCTTCAAATGGTCAATCCCGAGAAGTGTGTTTCGCAGTGATGTACCCTGACACGTATCTATCTCTGTAGAATGAAGTGGCAGTCAATTATACTGACACAAATACAATAATAATGAGTGGGTAAAAATATATAGTGCAGAAGCTCAGGCAGGCACATAGTACTATCCTCAGGTGCACAGCATATAAATTGCTATACAAATTAGGGAGATGTGTGCACAATTGGCTCTGGGTGTGTGCACCTACCTATTAGTGGCCATGTACACACCATCCTCTTCGTATGTGCATATAGTAAACTCCCCGAATGCATATACTCGCCCATGTTTCTGGCACACTTGGGACCATAGGGAATTTTAAATAAGCACTAGTGCAGAATATGCCCACATAGAAAAAATCCCGAATGCATACACCCACCCACTGTTTCTGACACATTTGAGACCATATAGAATTTAAAATAAACACAGGAGCAAAATAAAGTGTGGGTGCACATAGTGAACATCATGTAGGCACAGTCTACAATGCAGCTGCAGGCTCCTGGTTGTGCACTTACAGTGGGATGTCTGTGCCCAGGTGGTTTGGTGTCAATTTCGTATGTGCACACTCTTTTTAATGTGTGTGCACACAGCTATAACCGCATAGATGCACAAACGCTCATCGCGGCTTCGTGAAATCGGTTCTGAAGAAGGGCATAGTTATGCCCCGTTCTCGGTGGTCGTTATGTGCACTTACGATGGGATGTCTATGCCCAGATGGTTTGGTGTCAATTTCGTATGTGCACAGTCTTTTAATGTATGTGCACACAGCCAAAGATGGCCATGCCTGTCTGTGCACTTCAGTGTCGTAGGGTGTGCCGTTACAACACAAATCGTCTGTGTCAAGCATAATGGCGGACCAAGTTGGGTGTGCACAGTAGTATGGGAATTAATATGCATTCTAATTGCATGATCAGACCTAGGGGTGGAAATAGGTCGAGCGGAGCCGAGCTTTGGAAAATTGGGCCTGGGCCTGTTACGAAAATCTAAAGCCTAGGCCTGGGCCTGAGCGCAAATTATGCTGTGCAACCGAATGCACCTTGCAAGGTGCATACGGTTGCAAAACGGCACCGTTTTGGTTAAAAAAACGCGCGTCCCACTTAAAGAAGAAATCAGGTTCGATTCCCGGCAATAGCATGTTTATATATCCAGAAATTCATAACTATATATCCACAATTTCATAACTATATATCCACAGTGAATGAATGAAGTAAAAGTCCACAATGAATGAATGAATGAAGTAAAAATCCACAATGAATGAATGAATGAAGTAAAAATCCACAATGAATGAACTAAATATCCACAATATATGATTGAACTAAATATCCACAATGAATGAACTAAATATCCATAATTTCATAACTATATAACCACAATTTCATAACTATATATCCATAATTTCATAACTATATATCCACAGTGAATGAATGAAGTAAAAATCCACAATGAATGAATGAATGAAGTAAAAATCCACAATGAATGAATGAATGAAGTAAAAATCCACAATGAATGAACTAAATATCAACAATATATGATTGAACTAAATATCCACAATGAATGAACTAAATATCCATAATTTCATAACTATATAACCACAATTTCATAACTATATATCCACAATTTCATAACTATATATCCACAATAATGCTATTACTGAGAGTCGAACCTGATTTTTTTTTTTAAGTGGGACGCGCGTTTTTAATCAAAACGACGTCGTTTTGAACCGTATGCACCATGCGCATGGTACATTCGGTTGCACAGCATAACTATTGGGGCCTGAGCCTGTATGTAGGCTTTTTGTTAGGCTCAAGCCTGAGCCTGCAATTAGCCTGGCCTGACCTGAAGCCTTTTTAAAAGCTTGTTTAATATTTAGGTCATTAAAAATGCTTCAATGTATGTCCTA